CCAAAGAGCTGCCTTTATATATAATGAAAGGAACAATGCCTACAAGACCGTGGGAAGACACCGCCCCCAGACAATACGAAGAAGTGATCGAGTTGGTTCAAAGAAGATTGAGACGAAGTGGAGAGAAATATCTCCAAAGACAAGAGAGGACCCGAAGAAGAAGGTCGATCACATTCCAGAAAGGAGATAAAGTCTTAGTGAAGGCACTGAGGGTGTCGAATTTACAAAATGGTATTTGTGCTAAATTGATGCCGGTATTTGAAGGTCCATATAGGGTCAATACGGAAAATGGGGTAAATAGTTATGAATTAGCGCACATAGAGACAGGAAATATACGGGGTATTTTTAACATTCACGACATCTATCAATATCATGAGTAGATTTTCATAACATAGTGAAATAATTTGATCCTGGAAAACTTTTGTCATTTTTAAAATTTAACAAAGAGTTTTCGGCAGATCAAATGGCGGGGGTTTGCTTAAAATATTTCAAAGTTCAAAAACATTAAAATAATACAGATAAGTCAAACAATAAACTACAAACATTTCGAAGAATGAAAGTCTTTTAATTTTGGATTACCTGTATTGAACAAAACGTAAGATATGCATAAATTATTTTCTTTGTCAAAATATATTTGAGTGACCCGCATAAGCTTAAGTGAAATACTAGACAATGGAAGCAGTTTTGCCAAATAAATTTGTGCAGTAATTAGGACAATAGAATAGATTTTAGAAAGATATGTTTTTGTTAGTTCATAAAAATTTGTAGAAAAAGATTAGTTGTAAATAAGTTTTAGGAAATTTTATAATTGTAGGTAAAAATTTGTTGTGTTATCGAAATGAAGAAATGGGAGATGTATGACGCGTTTTGATTGGATGAGATTGAAAAAGGTGGGATAGTTGGTTTGAGAATGAGACGTTAGTGAGTTTTTGAAAAAAAAAAGATAGCCAGTTGGTTTTCCAAGTGTGCAAGGCGAACAGTCATTGTTCTCTGGTGGTTCCCGAGAGGTAGCAAGCAGTAGTGTTGAATATTAGTGAGTTTTTGTGGAGTTAGTGTATCTGACAGAAGCTGAAGCAGCAAAATATTGTAAGGCATATTTTTCTACTTATATTCCAAGAGTCACTGTTCAGGCCAACGAGAGATTCAGTTTATCGTAAAGAGAAGATATTCCAAGAGTCATTTTTCACTCGGACCAAAGAGAGATTCAGTTTATCGAGAGGAGAAGAGGCTATCATAATTTGAATGATTCGTGCATTTGAAGGAGATCATTAAGGACGATATACTTGCAACAATTTGTTGTAAGATTGCTGATTACCTAGGGAGCTGCTAAGAATAGATAGTATAGGCTACAAGAAACAAGGATTTGGACCACTCATCATCAGAGAGAGATCGTTTTGTTTTTCTGCAGTTTTTCTTTTCTTGATAACACAATTTTTAGAAAAGATATAAATTTTTTGATTAGGAGATTTAGAATAATAATTGGGATTTTGAGATTTTAACTAATATTGTTTGTACCATTAATTTTGAAGGTTCACGTACGTAGAACAAAATTTTAAGAATCATTATATGAGATATTGTGTATTGAAAACATTTGAGTGTGAATTTTATTTCATTATTTTTATTTCAATATATAGTGTTATATCATATGTGTTTTTTATTATTCCGGTATTCTTTGGACCTTACCTTTCACATGTGAAGCATAGATATTGAAGCACGAATATAACCCTGAGATAAGAGAATTAAAAAGTGTGATAGAGTCATAATCATATCATTTAAATAATTTTAATTAATTAATTAGCTTATTAATTGCTTGGCGCACTAAGACTTTGAATATCACAATAACATATATATATATATATATATATATATATATATATATATATATATATATATATATATATTGTAATGAGAACAGATATATAACCAGATATACACTGTAAATTAATAAATTTGTTGAAATAGTAATTAAAGACATAATTTATAAGTTATGTACTAGATAATATTATTAAAAAAATAATTATATGAGGGTATTTTTAAGAATTTAGCATAAGAATTAAGTTTAAGAAGTTTTTTTGTTATTTTATTTAATATTAAATATGTTTAAGTCAGCCATGTGCATATACAACCAAACATACACTGTAGTGTCAAAGTCAAAAAGTTATTTATTATTTGGAATTTTAATTTAAAATAAAATTACATATTTAAAATAGTAAAAATATATTTCATATAAATGTTTAAGTTACATATAATAGTGTAATTCAGATCTGGAGAGCCTATAGTCAAGTAAATTGTACATGTAGACCAGAGAAAATTCTAGAAATGTCAATAGGATTATTTGCATAATACATCATAGACAAAATCCATTCCATTTATTCCAGAATGTTCCGATAGAAAAAATAGAATGATTCGAACCTTATTTATTGCTAGATTATTCTGGAACCATTAAAAAGATATATAAACCGTGTAATTTGGAGCGGGAGTTAGTCAGTTAGTAGAAGTTAGTTCAGTTAGATCAGTCAGTAAAGTTAGACTTCAAGAATTTAGTTACAAGAAGATTATTAATTGAGTTAAAGTGAGTTAGTTAGAAGAAATTAAATCAGTTAGTTACAGATTATGTTTAGTTACAAGTTCAGTTAGAGGAGTTAATCAGTTAGTTAGTGGAGTAAGTTAGAAGAAATGAAGTCAATTACAGATTATGATTATTAAGTGAAATTAGTTTGAAGCTAGAACAAGGCATTGATTAAGGTAAATGAATTAATTAAGTCAAATACAGTTGGAGATTAATTATTACTACAGTAATATAGTGACAGTACGAAGTTAATTCATTGAAGTAAGAATTCAATAATACAACCACAAGATCCAGTATATTTGAAAGTACATTATATGGAAATTACAAGGATTTAAATTTATATGTTTATATGGTGAGTGGAGATAATTAAGAAGAAACATATTAAAATTGTTGGATGACCAAGGCTGAGTAAGAAAATATCGAGTGGTGATAATAACTTTAATTTTGGAAAAACTTTAGGCGTTCAGTGATAGAAAGGTACCAAATTTTGTTAATAATTTAATAATTGTAAGAATTTCAAATTTTAGATAGATTGTTTTAAATTAATATTGCTTATATTAGATAAATATGTTTGTTTCATAATAGTTATAATAAAGATAATTTAAAAAAGTACTTACAAACTAATTCTTTGATAACCGCGATAAAAACCCTATACTTACATATATCATTCAAATTTACTCATAGCTCATACAGAAACAACACATCATAACAATATATATATATATATATATATATATATATATATATATATATATATATATATATATATATATATATATATATAGATATATATTGTTAACGAAAGTGCTCAAATATATTTATATTTTAATTTTAACATGCATATACATTATCAAACATGTTATTTTAATGTCAAGTTTATTTATGTGTGAAATCTTTTAATTTCTTTACTCCTGATGAAGCTATTAAATAAATGGCGAAATATTGAGCTTTAGAAAAAACAAAGATTTTTATTTAATATAGACCACATACCCGATAATTCCAACATACTTATAAATTGTTTTTTGATCGAAATAATCACGGTAAATATATATATATATATATATATATATATATATATATATATATATATATATATATATTACATGACAATGACATGACATGGCAAGGTTTATTGTACTCCTTGCCATGTCATGTCATTGTCATGTAATATATATATATATATATATATATATATATATATATATATATATATATATATATATATATAAATATATATATATATATATATATATATATATATATATATATATATTACATGACAATGACATGACATGGCAAGGTTTATTGTACTCTATGCTCAGAAGGCACATCGATTGTTAAACAGAGGTGTCGTTTCCTCCAGTCTTGATGTGCAATCGATAAAATTTTTCTGATAGAATTTATTATTATTAACTTTTATTATTATTATTATTATTTATAGAAATTATTTTTCGCGTAGGGATACCGGCAGAGCGTTAAAATTTTGATTGTTCACGAATTGCGAAATAAATTCAAGTCCTTTCCAAATTTTTACTTATTTAGACAAAAAAAGTTGAACAACGTTCTCACTTCGGATCGTTACGTTTTGCGAAATAATTCTTTCGGGCCTTTATTTATTTCGGACAAATGGTTTGACGACAAAATGCTACCACAGCTCGTTCACCAATTCGAGGAATAATTGTAAGTCTCCTGCAAATGTAGTTAATAAGACTCGTTGTTATTGGCCGCCTAGAGTGACAATCTTCACTGTGTTTGGCCACTCTGGCGACACTGTATTCTGTTAGTCGCTTGGACTTCAGGATGGAAGCAACACCTTAGACTGTAACGATATCCGTGATCTTACAGTTAGGAGACTCACCGTCCTATATGTATGCTGTTACTGGGTACAGGCGCGGGGTTTTATAAAAAAAACAATAAAACTCTATAAAATTAAAAAAAAGTGATAAAATATCAGAAATTAAAAAAAAACTTTATAAATATTACAAAAAACTATACATATAAAATTACTTTGCAAAAATTTTTATATATTTATAAAAAATTTAATAAAATTAAGTTAAATTAAATAAAATTAAATTAATTAATATAAACAAAAATTTATTTTAGAAATTTTATAGTCGTTTGTAGATAAGTATAATAGGAAAAATGGAAAGTTCTGAACGAAAATGAATTAATATACCCTCCCATTATCATGATTCTTTTTAGAATATAATGATAATCAAAATAACATAATTAAGCATGAATACAAGATAATCACGAAAATGTATATGATGAATAAATTCTGAAGCTATTATATTTAACACTTTTTGAAAGAGCTTAAATGTGTAGTGTTATAATATTATATATATATATATATATATATATATATATATATATATATATATATATATATATATATATATATATATATATATATATATCCGAACTATTTTAGGATGTTGGGAACTTCCTGGAACGCCAAATGAATGTGAACATTCAGAATGTATAGCTAATGCAAGGCCTTCAAAAGTATTAAACAACACAAAGTTCTGTTGTTGTAATAGAAGCAAATGCAATCTAAATTTTAGGTAAACTATAAATTTTAATATTAAAATTTTAAATTTCTAAAAATAAATAAAACATTTTCTTTTCAGTGATGCCTATGTGCCTGTAAAGGAGCCTCCGCCAGAAGATCTGCCTGTTACACATTCCATTGATTCACTCATATATATTACAGTTGGTGCAGTTCTTTCGTTTTTTATTATGTTTTTGACAACGATGTCTTACTTTTGTTGGAAAATGAATCCGACAAAATGTGATATTGAAAATTGCCAACAACCTTTACCCCCTCCTGCAGAATACAGCCTGGATAAATTAAAAATGCTAAATTTAATAGGTAAGCTGTTAAATTTACTTAACTTAGAAAACTTATTTTATGAGAATCCATTAATTAAAACTCGCCAAAGTCAGTTTAGCATCATAACATATTTTACCACTAGTTTTATATCCTAGGGAACTAAGTACCTGAGGTGAGTGTATGCGTCTGTGGTGCTGAATCACTACACACACAAAACCAAAAAATAATCCAGGATGATCCCTTGTAAAATGGCAATAACACCGATATTAATTTACCGGTTAACGTACACTATGTCATGTTCACTTTGATACACCATACATAAAAAATAGCGGCTACGATCTGAGAAAGATAAATATAGCTTCGTCTCAAGCAGTCTAGTAATTTAAGTCTGTAAAAAATATTACATTTTTTACCAATAGTAGTATTTGTATATTCTTTTTGTGTTATATATTCTAAAAGTTTATGGTATTAATTGTCAGGAATTCATGAGCATGCTTCAAGTTTTGGTACACGTGGACGTGTGTGACACACATGACAGTTATTTACAGAAAAATATTTATACTATTTTATAGTAATTATAGAAAACATCGGTTATTAAGCTTTTATAATACTTAAGGATAATGGCCAATATGTTTATTTTAAATACTTTATAATTTTAATGGGAAGTTAAACTCACGTTTCGAATTGTTTACAATATAATATGCGAGGTGTCCAGAAACTCTACTGACAAACGAAAATCGGAGATTTCTTAGATAATTTTAAGACAATTTAACCCAATTCACCTAATCCGAAAATGCTTCCTAATGGAGCTAGAGCTCTGAAGATGGCTGCTTGTCGTTAGTTTTTTTTTAATACCTCCAGAACGCTTCTATTTATAAAAACGAAAACATGTACGATTATTCCTACAGAATTAAATCGATTTCATCATCTACCAATTTCTAGTAACGGTCATATGTGTCCGTTTTGGGTAGGCCAACGGTTATTTTAACGCATAACTTTTTTGTTTTTAAGTTTTAAGCATTCGTGATACTAGATTATTAGATTTTCAGGTATTCCGGAGGTACACCTATTTAAAGTAGGTAAGATACACCGTTTTTGAGAAAAATCGGTTTGAAAATTTTTCGTTTTTTCTCCATGAAAGTTAAATTAATATTTTTTGCACTAGTTGGCTTGTAATGTTATTCCTTAAATATCAGAATTCACAATATATAAAATAATGTAATTCATACTCGTGTAACATTTTGTTTATATAAACATTTAGTAATTTGAATCGAGTACATTCACAAATAACATACTCTAATTAGAACTGCCAGTCAGCACTTTTGTAAATGGACCACAGGAGTGATGACGTAGATTTGATTGACATCTGTCAGTTTCACTTTCCAAACAAACCTTGTTTAGTGTGGATAATTTTTATTTTTCGTTATTTTTTCATTTATTTTATAGAATCTTTCCGCTTTTTGCAATATTTAAGTATTCTAATAGTTACTACAACAATTTTACAAGGTTGTGTAAATAATAAAGCACATTATTTGTGCTAATAGGAATAAAATGCAAGTATCAATAAAGTAAGGTTAAAATTTCTTTAATTAAACTTTTAAACCATATTTCATAGAAATAGAACTCTGAATTATGATGGTATTATCGTAAAAAAACACTATACTTACAAGAAAAAGCAGCAGAGGAAGCAAAATGTTAACTTTATAGGAATTAAAAAGTCTGGAGATTTGACATTTCAACGTTTGTTTGGAAAGTAATAATAGTCGTGACGTCACACTCCTGCGGTCCATTGCACGACTTACTTGGTGTAGGTCAGGTCACTTGACACGAATAATAATCAAAAGCGCTGAGCCATCAAGGCCGGGACTATTAAAGCAACACCAATCATGATCGGGAGATCTTAATTAATGTACCGTCAAGATGGCAAGTTAATGCCGCATATAGTCAGCGTCAATAAAGTACTATATATTTTAGATTAAGTAACATTAAAGAGTGTACAGTAGTGATTAATAAATAGGCAACTAAGTTAACAACATATTATTTACTACCCACGACATTATTTACCATAGGCTTTGCACTATCAACAGAAGCATAACCTACGTTTTTCATTGTCATATTTTTGTTACTTCGTAAATTTTCTCTTTTAGTTTTTACTTTGTGGCATTTAAACACAACAATTTCAATTTAACAAAAATGGTTTTTACCAATGAGGAATACGCTGATATACATTTAGTTTATTGCGAAATAAGGTGTAACGCACGAGCCTTAACGTAGATATACTGAAAAATTTCCCGATTAAGAGAAACAAATTCAGTGTAAAATCCAAAAAATAATGAAACAGTGCGATATAATGATGTACAAGCAGCAAATGAAGATGCCATTTTAATGGAAGTTGGGGAAAATTTAGAAATTAGCGTTCGAAGACTGTCTGAAATATATCCCACAATTTCAAAATCTTCCGCAGGAAATATCTTACACAACGAAAATTTATATCATTTCCACTTTACAAGGGTACAAGCACTGCTGCAAGGACATTTTTCAGCTCGTGAAGAAGTCGCTGCTGAGCCATCAAGGCCGGGACTATTAAAGCAACACCAATCATGATCGGGAGATCTTAATTAATGTACCGTCAAGATGGCAAGTTAATGTCGCATATAGTCAGCGTCAATTAAGTACTATATATTTTAGATTAAGTAACATTAAAGAGTGTACAGTAGTGATTAATAAATGGGCAACTAAGTTAACAACATATTATTTACTACTCACGACATTATTTACCATATGGCGATCCTGAATTGGTAGAAACCAGGAGTCTTCGTCCCAGAAGCCTAGAATGCGAGGAAAGTCGTCCAAAGAAGACCTACAGGAGAATGGAGTCGTCAACAGCAACTTCATAGTAAAAAGTAAATATGTCAGGCCAGGCGAAGAAATAAAGGTACTCTTATACATCATTACCACGGTCCTGATACTAAAATTGGTATGGTCATTATGGAAGGCGCATAGGAGAAACATGAAGCGGAGCATACACCGGGACATGGCAGCGATGTAGACAACAAATTTAGACGTTTAAGTGGTGAGTCTGCATATTATCTATTTTTATTGCACTTCCTTACACGTATATTAATATATCAGTTACTTTATTAATTATTATTTTTATGACTTTTTGAAGATAATTTCACTTATATTTTAGTATGGATAATTTTTAATTTATTAATTTATTGAATTTTAATGGGTATTTGACGATCTTATATTTTTAAATATTTTTTTTTGCTAAGTAATTCTCGAATTTTATCGTACTACATAAGACTATCGGATTTGTGTTTTCGTTCTTAAATGCCTAGTAATTGGGAAGATTTTGTCAAAATACTTGAAGCCATTACGCAGGATATAACTAAGCAGAGCAAAAGAGTGTTAAAAAAGGAGATACCTAAAAGCAAGGAGGTAAAAACTGAGATAACGACACAAATAATTGATGCTTATAATAGATTGGTACACCTCATAACCAAAAATTGGGACGCCTTGTAAGAGATACTTCAACAAAAACCGAGATAAAGTCATACGATCATTCCAAGCTATAAATTCCAGAATATTAGTTCCTAATCGGATAACTCAACAGATTGATAAGAATATACAAGAAGATCAAAGCGACACCGAACAAGAAGAAACCATGGCTCTTAGCATCAACGAATTTTTAAACATTGCAAGCAAAATTTTACCGAGTGAATTCGACGGAACCACAGGCAAACTACAACCCTTTGTAGACGCGCTCGAACTTTTGCAGAAAATAGCAGTAGGACATGAGGAAACAGCGATAAGCCTTATAAAAACAAGATTAACAAACAAAGCCAGAAACTTAATAACCATAGAAGACACTATTTTAGATATACAGGCAACACTGAAGAGAGAACTAAAAGGTGATACGCCGAAAACGGTGATAGCTAAACTAGACAAAAAGAAGCAAGGACATAGAGATGCAGCTGTGTACGCAGCTGAGGTTGAGGCATTAGCCGAACAATTAAAAGTGGCATACATAATAGAGGGAATGCCAGGAGATTTAGCTAAGAAATACACAACAGAGGCAGTAGTGGCTACGATGAAACGTAATGCCAGCACAGACAAAGCTAAGCTAATATTAGAGGCAGGCAATTTCACAACCCCACAAGAGGTAATGTCAAAATTCCTAATTCCCAATTCTAATTCCCAATTCCTGTCAAAATCAATAGACACAACAGAAGACAACGTACATGGAAGAGTGTTAAATTATGAAACATACCTTAACAAAAGAGAGAAATTCCATCACAAAAGAGGATATCATAATGGATATAACCAGTGGAGAAGACCAAATTTCTCGCAACAAAACAATGTAAAAAGAGATCACCGTCCACATGAACAAAAAGGGTCCAGAAAATTCGATAACCAAGCACAGAGGGGAAATTCAAGAGGATTCAAAAGACATATACGATTATTAGAACTAGAAGATAGTCCGCAGGAATCAGAAAATCCACAGTTGGGGTTTTGAACAAACAACTCTCATCTAAGACGGATGAACAGATGACAGAATCAGAATATTTTATCTACAATTTCGACTTAAACCTTACAAATTTTGTAAAAATAAAAACAGGAATCTTAGGACAAGTAAATACATTTATTATAGACACAGGAGCGGATATTTCAATACTTAAATGTACACAAGACTCTATGAGAGAATATGTAAAACCAAATTCAAAAGCAAGAATAAAAGGAGTAAATCGAGAAGAACTGCAAACAATGGAAGAAATCGAAACTACGCTAGACGTAAGTGGCAATCTTTTTGGACATACCTTTCAATTGGTAGAAAACAACTTATACCAACAGACGGAATAATTGGAAGAGATTTTATCACAAATTATCAATGCATACTAGACTACGCAAATTTAAAAATACACATCAAGAATGATAGAAACATCAGTACAAATATTTTGGATACTGTAGACGATAGCACAATTATAATACCACCCAGATGTGAAGTTTACAGAACAGTTCAATATTTTCAAAAGTTA